CTGGTCACTAGATCTTACTCAAGATCTGGCAGAATGAAGATGCTCATGTCCTACTGTTGGAAAAATGGTCTGGTCCTTATGATGTTTTGCTAACCACTCACATTTCTGTAAATTTTGTAGGAATAAAACCCTGGGTGCATCACTGCAGAGTAAAAAAGTCCTGAAAGGTGATGACCAAAACTTATTGGTGTTGTGAATGTTCTGAAGACCTGAGATACTCATTTAAGAAAAAGGCAAAAACTTAAATTTTTCTTTCATCTTCTACTTCAAGATAGCTCAGATAACCTTTCTGGTGAAAACTGGAAACCCCAGTGTGATGAATATGTCTATGAGTATCACTTTGTAAATGATCTAACTAAACTTTTTTTTTTCCCCCTTCCAAAGTCTAAGGTATATGTGATGGCATCTGAAACCACATGACCTCTGCTGATAATACTTCCACTTCGGGAATTTTATTTTGATTCCATGGAGAAAATAAACTTGGTTTTAATTTTGACTTTCAATTTGATTTTTACAATTTTGACTTTTATGAAAGTTTTTTTGGGGGGTTGCTTGGGCCTATGTTTTATTTTTCCCCTTTACTACTTTGTAGACTGAGTTTGCAAGTATATGTGTGGTACAGGTGAACAAAAAGCCTATTTCAGTGTGAGTAAAACTGCCTTTCCATCAGGCAGTGATAAAAAAAAAAAAATCAAACCTCCTAATACTTGTCTTCCTAAGGAAGCAGAGCGAAAGCGCTGGGTCTTTCCAAATATGAGTAAAACTTTTTTTAAATTCTTTTTGATTTATGTATTTTTACATCATTGTTCATTTTTAAACAATGTTTGCTTTCTCCCCCCACCCAGGTATAGTCCCCATAGAATTTCCTTCACCAATGCACCCATGCACCATCACCTCAGTCCCCTGTGCTTCTCCCTCCCTCCCTCTCACCCCTCTCCCTCCTCCTCCCCTGCAGGATGTCTCTGATTTATAATTGTCTGTTTTTGTTTTGTTGTGTTTTGTACTGTTATTTTTTTTACACTGATGTCTTATTTTGTTCCCCTATATTCCTCCTGTAAGTGAAATTATCCAATATTTTTCTTTTTCCTTCTGACTTATTTCACTGAGCATAATTCCTTCTAGCTCCATCCATGGTGCCTCAAATAGCATGAGTTTATCTTTTTTTGATTGCTGAATAATATTCCATTGTATTCATATACCACATTTTCTTGATCCAATCATCTAATTTTGAGCATTTGGATTGTTTCCAGATTTTACCTATTATAAACAGTGCTGAAATAAACATATGGGTACAGGTGTCTTTTGAATCAATATTTCTGTGTCCTTTGGGTAGATTCCTAGGAGTGGAATTGCTGGATCATATGGTATCATTTTTAGTAGTCTGAGGAAACTCCAGACAGCTTTCCATAGTGGTTGGACCAATTTGCACTGCCACCAGCAATGTAGTAGAGTTTGTTTTTCACCACATCCTCTCCAGCATTTCTTGTTGCTGTTTTTTTTTTTTTTTGATACATGCCATTCTTACCGGTGTAAGGTGGTATCTAATATGAATAAAACTGTTACATAGGATTTTCCAACTTGGTTAAAGGAAAATCTAAGAGAGATCTTTGTGTATGTTGTATGTCTGTAATTTTTCTCTTTTCTGTCTAATTATTCTGGTCTCTGGAGGATATAGAAATTGGTATAAAAATTATGAGCTCAGGGCCTCCGTGGTGGTACAAGGGGTTGATTCTCAGTACTATGAATCTATCAGCAGCCACTGTATAAGCATGTATAGTATGAATTTGATCCAAGGCCAAGGAGGTAACCACATGGCACAGCAGATTCGCTGCTCCCTTCAGCAGTGTTTTCAGTCAATCTGCCTGTTCTGCTCCCCACTCTGTCTCTGGTGAATCCTTTCATCCCCCACACCTCTGGCCTTCATCCCAGTTCTTGTATGCATAAATAAATAAAATAAATCTTTAAAAGAATTACGAGCTCAATAAATACATATGGAAACTGGTGCAAGTTACTCTAGAAGCATGGTTGGGATAATCTTCATTTAATATAAAAACTAATTGGGAATTTACTGTGATTAATGAAAACTAAATTGAAATTTAATGACTGAGTTTGCAGCATATTTAAATTTGTACTATCAGTTTTTTGTTTTTTTTTTTTTTTCATTTTACCTGTGTAATTTGTGTTGGGTACATGCTGCACAGAAGAGGCAATCTAAGGTGAACTGCTTAAGTCTTTAAACATTGGATAGAGGTTTTTGAGGGTTAAAATTCTAGTTAAGTGATTGAAATAATTGGTAATATATGGTGGAGGAAAAATGGTTAATTTTGGAATCAGATAAAAGTTCAAAAGTGTATAATTCTGTTAACATTGTGCTAGTGAGTCAAGTTGGAGTTTTGATAACTTAAATCTTCACTATTGGGAAATAAAATGGTGCTTTGTTCTCTAATAGTGATGATAAAACTTCTAAGAAATCTGAGAGTTTAAAAATGGTCATATTTTCCTTGATTAATCGAAGGAAATGTTATAGAAACTCGGTAGAGCTCCTAAGGCACACCATAAAATTTCTGCCTCTCCTTAGGGGAAATATATTAGATGAACTTGATATATTTGGTATTTATCTGGTAAATTGGAACATAATGGGAAGCAATGTTACTTGAGAGAAATGTTTCTCCTTTGCATATGCATTAATATTGACATTGTAAAATTATTATGTGAAACTTCTTCAGTGTCTGGTATATTCTTATATAATATTTTGCTTGTCATTTGGTGAGAACATGCTATGGCATGGCTTCTGAGTTCTGGACAGGCCAAATGTTGAAAGCTTAATCTAAGATCCTTTACAGAAAGTCCTAACAAAGTCAGTAGAAATTCTACTTGGTTATTCTCTCCTATCAGTTTACACAAAATAGATCAAATTGATTGGAATTAGATTTAGTTTAATGCATTTGGCTGTACTATTTGATAGAACTTGAATGTAGGAGATAAGAAAATGATTTTAATATAGTTGTCAATCATTTTTGAGATTTTTTTCCTTTTTTTTTGGCTTTGACTAATGGACTGCACTATTTTCCAAAAATGGAGGTCTGGCTACACATACACAGGCTATATACATGTACAATGTCTTGCAACTGATTGCTATTTCCTTTGAGTACAATGCAAACCCAGTGAAACTATCTTCTGAGACTACATGCCAGCATCTACCTTTCATCACCACAGAAATGGTGACAAAAATTGAAAGTGGGAAAATTGTAAGAAGAGTGGTGAGAAGTCCCCAGTCCAATGGGTGATGCTCATAGCCAACTTGATGGTAGAAGTGAAGCTTTCCAGACTCCACCCCTCGGGTGCATGCTAATGGGAAAAAGAGGTGGAACTGAGGTTTTTGGCAGCTAAAAAGCTGTTGGAACTTTGGCAGCTGATCCACTAGCACTTTATCAGTTAAATCACTGGTGAGGAGGGGTGTCTATGGAGAAGCCATCAGGCTGTCATTTGCAGCTTCAAATTGGACTCAGTTTCTGCTCTGTGGATGGTATCTGAGATAGGACAGATGGCATCTGGCTATGTGCCAACCTGTAAATCTTCTCCCTCTTCATTCTCCCCTTTCTCATTACCTTTGTACATTCTGCAATTGTTGTTTCTCACAGTGCTTTTGCTTTCAGGGTGAGTCCATCCATTCAGGTTGATCTAATGGGTTAACCCCAGTCTCCTAATTGTGTCCTCTTTTAAGATGTTGGTGAATTTACCTTACATAAAAATATAACCTTTTTATATAGACAATCAAATATTAGTCAAGGTTATACAGTAATGCATCACTTAACAATGGGTATATGTTCCCAGAAAGCATCTACCAGGAGATTTTATCATAGAGCAAACCAATCCAGATCATTAAAAATTTCTTTGCATGTGATATAGGCAAAATTTTGTTAGTGCCATAGTTTTCAATGAGTCACTGTAGGGTAAATAATTGTCAGGCTTTTCTGCCCTTCTGCCATCAGCATTGATGATAGATCCCTGCGGTCCTGAATGCATGCCTGATGGCGGGCACCTGGAGTAGGGTGTAAGCAAACATAGGTGGGTACACCTGGGCTGAGTCTGAGCCTACAAGGATGGTATCACAGGGACACCAGAAGAATGACTAGAAGAGAGCAAAAGCATCAAAGAAGAAGAAGAGAGCAGAAGAGAGAGAACAAGACTACAAGAGAACCCCGGAGAGCCCAGAAAGAGTGAAGATTCGCCGGGGGCGTGGGAGGCCTGCCAACCCCCGGAACCCCTGCCTGCCATGTACCTGGTAAAATCCCAATAAAATCCTGAAAAATCCACTGAGGGCTCCAGAACTTCTCCTTTACCCATCTTCTCAGATCACAGAGATTCTGCTCTGTGCACTTCCTGCTCCTATAGTCATATACTTTAACTTCCATCATGTTGTTTTGTTCTTCAAAGCCATATCTATGGTAGAAGGGATATACCTGACTGGTGAGCAACACCCATCACTTATTTCATGCTTTTGTAGTCCTAATCACATTTAATTTTGTTTCTCAATCACTCTATGTTAGCCCTTACTGGTAATAATGCCAGTAAATTTTGTAAGCTTAGGGTCTATGCTAAACAAGAGACCACAAGATTAAATCAAGCACAGGGAAATGATCCTATCAAGAGATTCAGTAAACACAAAATATATGAGATTTTTGCCAGAGTGAAGCACAAAGATGACTATGATGTCACTAAGCAATATGAATTTTCAGACCACTGCTATATAAAGCATATCACTGTACATGGAGGAAATAGTGTTGATGGTAGATAAGCACCTTTACCTATTTCATTTCAAATATGGATATTGCAGGATGATTTTTCTTTTTAATAATTTCCCATAATATTGTCAAGAGCTCTGGATTTAGAAAAGGAGTTCCAAGTGAATAACAAAGCAAATTCTACATTTGAACAGGGATGAAAATAAGTGAAGTACTCTATTAAAGTATATATAAATTTTATTGTTGTTAAAAAAGAGGACAATTTTCCCATGAATTTGTTTTTAGAACAAACATGGATTAGAAAAGAGACTTAATCGTTTCATATTTCTGCCTAACTTTTATTGCTTAGATCACTGTCCTACTGACTATATCTACATAATTAAACATGTTTGAGGCTTTTAAATGATTAGTTGACCTACTGTATAAGAAAGAAACAAAATCATTTCATTAGATAAACTTCCAAAAATCACGTTTATTGCTGATTCAACTATGGCATGTAGTTCAAGAATAAATTAGTAAATTACTTTGGAGCATCTGAAGTGGAATAAAGTGTGTTTTCATGTTTATATGTTTATCTTGTATAAGTTAGTATTTTGTTTATAAATAAAACATTCCTTTCCTCTCAATATGGCATTAACTGCCTTTAAAAAAATCTTTAGAATTTAATACTGGCATTTGAAAACTGGAAAATAAAATCAATTCCTTTTGTAGCTCTCTGGAATGCTCCCTGAATTCCTTCTACATTTCTAATTTTATCAAGTGAATCTAAACGCTGTACTTAAATAAGTTCCATTTGGGTGATGTAAAGTGCAGTTAACATGTCAGCTAGGAAGAAATTTTTAAACCAAGGTATTAAATCCATCCTATTATGACTTTTATTATGACCTTTAATCAACAAGTGTGATCAGTGATCTGGAATCTTACTTTTTGAGAAGTCAAAGAAATCTTAGCCATTGAACTTAAATGTTTAGAATGACTGGACCTATGTAGTGTGGTGTGAAAGGAGTGTTCCCATTTTAAAATGCTTTTTTTCAATAACTGCAGTTAATACAGAAATTTCAAGTTAAATTTAATTACCAACTGACAAATATCTTCTATTAGTAAAATTAAATATAATGATGGAAACATGGTTTTGATCCTAGTTTTGGTTACAGAGAAATCACAATTTGCTACTTAAGGATCTTCACATCACCCGCTAATGAGATTGGAAATTTGTCCTAGTAACTCCATGGTGCTTGCAGGGAGACATGTCCTGTATTCTGGATGTAAGTGATCCAGTCCCAAGGTCTTCTCAAGTAATTCATTGGTTTTAGTGACATGGAGCGCACTAGAAGGTAGGTACCACCGAGGGCTATCAGTGTCCCAAAGAAAAATAGCCCTTTGTTTATCACCTGTAAAGACAGCAAGAACTCTCATTTCATTTGTCAAGAGATTAAAATCTTAAAATAGACTTTATACGTAAATGAAGCTGTCTACAATTTAATTACAATTACCAATTTAATTACATAACCACTAGGAAAAGACTTCAATGAATTGCAAGGTCAAGAATTTGGAGCTTCCTTTCTCTCTCTCTCCCCAGAAATACCTGAATCCTTGTGTTCTGTATAAGGAATTCTTAGTCAGCCTTTGTATGGCCAAAGGGTAAAAAAGGAGTTTATAAAAAAGAGCTATGAATTCATTCTTAGATCTCTTTGCAGAAACCAAAATGACTCAGTGACAGTTTACACCTTGCACAAAATGTCCAAGACGTCTCTTGATAGGCCTAATGACCTCTGTGACTCATAAGATGTAAACACCCAAAGACATTAAGCAGAGCATCTTTGCCACCTATAGTAAAACAACACAGGTTTGGGCCTCCCCTGGTGGCGCAGCCATTGAGCGCTGGGCTGCAAAGCTGCCCGCAGTCTCTGCAGCGCCGCCAGTTCGTTCCCCGGCCACCGGCGAGGGTCCCACATGGCGCGCAGACCTCTCCTGCAGCCCGCTGTTCCCCTCAGCAGTATATTTCGTCAGTCTGCCTGTTCTGTTCCTGCTCTGGCTCTGGTGAATTCTCTCACCCTCCCGCGCTTCTGACTGTACCCAGTACTTGTATAAATAAAAAAATAAATCTTTAAAACAAAAAACACAGGTTTATCCTAGTCCTGGTCAGGTATGATTCCTTACCCTCTTTACCGCTTTCTCTCATTGCACTTACTGTCCTGCATTTTCTGTCACTATCTCTTCTTTCCCCATTAGACTTTTAGCTCCTTGAGGGCAGGGACCTTATTTTATTCATCTTTGTATGAACAGATTTTGATTCCTTCCAACATATTTTCCTCACGGAAAAGTAATCATTTTAAAAACAGCATCTGAGTCTGAGCCTCCTTCAGTCTTCCCGTTTCCTTCAAGATAATATCGAGGATGTTTAACATTCTGCTTCATATTCCATTTCTGCCTCTGGCTATTCCCATATGTGTGTTCTATCTTCAACTCCGCTGAAATATTGGCATTCTCACCCTGGATGTGGGAGAGGTGTTTCTAGTCTCCCCTGTCAGGTCCACCCAGGTTCTCCTCCGGGAGCCCTGTGTGCCTCTCCATTGCCATTGCCTGTCTCCCCAACTAGGCTCTGATCTACGTGAAGGGCAGGGACAACTTATTGTCCATTCCCATGCTCAGTTCAGTGCCTGCATACTAAGTACAACTATTTGTTGAATGAATGAAGTTGTAAAATTTCCAAAATAGAAGATCAGAAATCTGAATGTCCACTTACTGGCATCTCTGGGTCAACCATCCAAAATGAATATGGCAGAGACTTTGTTTTATAAGTGATTCAATTCTGTCCAATTTTAAAAGTTAAACCCATGAAAGAATTACATGAAACAAAAGTCAATTTCCAAATAAAATGAAAAAGTCACATTACTAAAATAAACAGCTTAGAAATATTAACATCACTTTAAAAAAAATTCTTCCTTTCAAAAGCTCATAGACTTGCCATTGTAATTTTGTTCATTAGGCACTCTGCCCTCTGTGTAGCTAGGTCATATTCATTTGGACATTTTAATTTATAAAGTATATATTTGGTGTTTGCAATGTCATTTCCGTGTTTGTCTAAAGTAAACATAAACATCACACTATGAACTTTAACATATCAGTTTTTTTTTTAAAGAGTAAACTGTTCCAACCTTTTTTTGCCAGCGCCAGCGTATCACTGCTTCATGGTATCTTATTCTCGAAAAGGTCACCTGTAAGGAAGTTTAAAAATTGTTCTTATGTGGTCTGTAATGACTGAAAAATATCAAAATGAGGAAAAGTTTTAAATCTTAATCTTACCATGGTATAGAGAGGAATAAAGGTAGATGGCATAATAGCATAAAGAAATCTGTCTATGTTCTTTTGGAAGATGAACCATCTTGAGTTGACATGTGCTCTCATCTGCAACAAAGCAAAGTCTTAAAGAATATCTTGAATGAAGTACCATTATTTCTTCACCATAATATTATTGCTCTTTATCTTCATTCATCTTAATGTCAGATTAAATTTATTCAAATAATGTCTTATTTCCATAACAGTCAGTCCCAAAATTTTTCAGCCCTATAGGACATTACTTGAAAATGTAGCCCAATTACACAAGACCTATTAATGAACTCTATTTTGCTCAGTTAATATGGGAATTCTATTTCAGCAAAGGAGTTGTTCAATTGGAACCAAAGGTAATTTGAGAACCCAGAAATGTGACTAACTTCTGTTGCTTCTTGGTTGATTTAAAACATTGTTTATGGCAAGAAAGAATCTGCTTCAAGGTATGCCCATCTTGACCTATGACAAATTCAGGACAAATATTGTGTGGTTGCTATCATGTTTTAAAATATTAAATATGATTGTAGAACTAAGATTATCAAAATAAGAGGAGGAGGATGGAGAACAAAGGGAGGGGGAGACCCGGTGGACAGTGGTGGATGATGATGGGTCCCTTGGTGGTGGGTGTGTTCTGGTGATGTACAACTGAAGAGTTATGAACTTATACCAATGAATCATATAAAGTTGTGATGAACCAACATTACCTTAACAAGAACTACAAGTAAATAAAAACCCAGCAGCAAGAGAGAAAGTAACACAGCCAAGAGACATAAATGAAGACTTTCAGTATTTTATAGAATTTCCTTCACTATGCTCAAGTTGAAGGTCACTTTATGATTTTCTTTTTTCAGAAGAGAATGAAAACAACTTCAATCTATTCTTTAAATTCATCTTGTGGGCCTCCCCTGGTGGCGCAGCGGTTGAGTGCTGGGCTGGGAAGCTGCCTGCAGCCTCTACAGCGCCTGTTCGATCCCCAGCCCCCAGCAAGGGTCCCACATGGTGCGCAGACCTCTCCTATTGAGCCCACTGCTCTCTTCAGCAGTGTATTTCGTCATTCTGCCTGTTCTGTTCCCTGCTCTGGCTCTGGTGAATTCTCTCACCCTCCTGCACATCTGACTGTACCCAGTGCTTGTATAAAAATAAATAAATCATTAAAAAAATAATAAATAAATTTATCTTGCAAATGTTTTAGTTTGATTAGTGAAAAACTATAACTACAAGAATTTATCATGAGCTTTATATGTGACTGATTCAAGATGCAATGTTTTTCTTCAGAACACCAATCATTTGATTATGAATTTCTGTTATTATTCTTACTCCAGTACACAAAGCCCAAAAGATTTTTAAAGTTACTGTGAGTTTGAAGTTTGAGATGTTCAGAGTGAAGAAATACTTTAATATTTCTTATATTTTCAAATATGTTAACACTGGGGCCTCCCTGGTGGAGCAAAGGATTAAGATACAACCTATGAAGCTATCCACAGCCACTGCAGCATGAGTTTGATTCCCGGCCAGGAAACTACCCACATGGTACAAAAGACCTCTCCTGACTCACCCGCTGCTCCCCTTAGTAGTGTATTTTCAGTCGATCTGCCTGTTTTGCTCCCCACTCTCTCTGGTGAATCCTCTCACCATCCCCGCCAACACACACCTCTGGCCTGCACCCCAATTCTTGCATGCATAAATAAATAAATCTTTTAAAAAATATGTTAACACTATCAAAGTTATATTTTAATTAAAATAGCATGTTACTAGCTCTAATTACCTAAAATTTGAGTCTGTGAATTATCAGAGATTTAAATCAGATGTTTTGTCGTTTTTGTTACCTTCTAAGTGCCACTGAAATGTAGGTGGAGATGATGTGTGAGGCTCATTGTCAATGACTACATGATTGTTATCCAACCAAGTATAAAAAATGCATGAGTGTGTGTGTGTGTGTGTTTGCATATGTGTGTATGCACACATGCAACGCATGCATTCTGATGCAGCATGTATGAGATGGGGTTAGAAAGAAAAACTAAAGAAAAGTTCTTATAATATCTGTTAACAATCCCATGGAATGAAGTCAATTCTCCTCACTCACCTCTATGTAATTGTACATGGATAAATCTGATATTGCATGGTCATCTGGAATCCTAAATCTTGAGAACTCAGGAAGACACATACCTGAAAATAAAGTTAAACAATTCATCTTTTCCAAAACAGTTTATAAAAAAGTGTTGGACTTTATATAGATCAAATTAAGCAGTATATTCCTACTAATGTTCCTTCTAACTTGTTTAAACTATGGATAACCATGCCACATGACAATTTACGAATACTGAACAATAACCTGGGCATCTACTGTTGTTATTATAAAAAAAAACTCAAGATAAATTTATCAATATATTCTTGTTAATTAGTAAATTATTATTTTCTTAGAATTCTTAGAATTACTACTTTTTGTTCTCTTTTGCACCTAAGAAGTCTCATTAGTTTAAGCATCAGTTCCATCATTATTCTATGAGCTTCCCGAGGGCAGAGTCCATATTTTATTCATGTTTGAAATATTATCTTGGTACATGGCAAATATTGCATAAATATTTGATAAATTAATACCTAAATAATGTAACTTTCAGGTGGCAAACAACTCTAGTTATTAAAGATATTTCTAAAATCCGAAAAGCTGGATGCAAGTTCCAGCTCTCCAACTTTCTAATTACATGACTTTGGGGAAGTAACTGCTTCTAAACTTGTATTTCCATATTTGCAAGATAAGGACTATTCCCTCTTGATAGATGGAGGGAAAACAAAACAAAACAAAACAGTTGAGGCTAAAAAGGTGTAATGAATTACTCATAGAGCTAAATATATTGTGGTGGGGAGATCAAGACTGGGATATGGGTGTAGATTTAAATTTAAATTCAATTCTCTAAATCTCCTCTTTCCCTGAAACAGACTTTAATTTGGAGGTAACATCTGAAAACAATGGTGCTGAGAAGCAGTAAAAGTTATTCAGTTCTCAAGATATTGCTTGCAATTTCTTTTGCTAAAAGATTATATATATTTAATTCAACTTAATTTCAGAATTACATATAAAAACATCAAAATTTGTAAAATTGACAAATTATCTGGACCAGTTTTAATCAAAAGCAAATATTAGATGCTACCTTTGTTAAGGCTAAAAGCAAGAAAGCTGTGGCTTTTCTAGAATTGTTTCCGTGATCATGCTCCAGTAGATGAAGACAGTAAGTGTTTCTTGGGTTGAAAGGGAAGGAAAGGAGCAGATCGCAACTAAACATTGGTATGCAGAACTTTTTTTTATGAGACTCGACAGACTCACTGCATAGACCTCCCCATAAGAACCTTAAATAAAATTATGTTTCCCTCTCTGGGTGCTCCTTCTCTGACATGGACAACAATAGTGGCCTTGAACTCTTAGTAGAAAAGTTTATAATCATAAACAAGGAATATGCATCATGAGTTTGGAATATCCCAAGAACAGAAATAAGTCTACAATTAATTACCAGGGCTAGTCCATATTCAGTTGAGAAATGTTACTTACTAAGGTCATTATTGAATTTATCCATTAATTCATCAAAAACCAAGCAGTCTTCAAAACCCTGAAACATAAAAAAATGAAAAAAATAAACTGGAAATAATAAAATACTCATAACAATTTTGAAAAGAATTTCCACTAGTGAGTATAGTTCATAGAATGTTTATTCTCAACCAGCACAACAGCATTGAATTTGTTTAAAAAGATGATCAATTGTATGGTTAATTGTTCTGTCTTCTCCTAATTCATATATACATATATATACAAACATTTACATATGTAAATAATGGCTTGGGATTTGATCAATAGTTTAAATTACAGTTGAAATTTTGATGAGTTCCAATGCTTCTTCCAGAAATAAGAATACTTACAGCTACCACAAATACTTAACAGCTACCACAAATTTTAGAATTATATAATATCTATTCAGGCCTTTATGATCCACATTTAGAATTTAATGACAGGATAGATTCTTATATTAATTTAACTCCTACAAATAAAAATTAAAGAAAATTTCCAATATCAAGAAGCCCACAAAAATCACTATGAGACTATGATAATTGCACTGGGAAAGAAGAAAATAAAAATCTATGTTTCTACTCTCTAGGAATTCAAACTAGAGTTTTAGGGACAATAAAATAAAACTATATGTAAAAGTTAAAAGAAAAAATCTTCATTGCATCAATTACAGAGATTACATATAAAACAAATTTACTTGTCATTTTCATATAATGTTAATGCTATAGGAATTTAGAGGTGAGATACCATTTAGGCTGAGATAACATTTTCAGTCTTTAACTCATTCATTCCCCAAGAATCTCTTGATGGAGGTACTGTTAAAAATCCAATTTTATAGGTAAGGAAGTAAAGATAAGTAAAGATAAGATAGGTAAGTTTAGTTATGCAAAAACATATTTCAATAAATCCTGAAGCCAGGGTTTGAACTTAGATCTTCTAATGCCAGAGACAGGGCACATATCACCTATGCTAAAATCATTGTGTTTTTATGTTTTCATAAAACATAAATAATTATGTTTATATAGAACAAAATCTTTACCACTACTTCATAGAAAATATAATTGATTATATTCACAAACAATTTACACTTGGAATATGTATTCCATCACCAAACAATCCATGACTAATGATTATAAAGCTACTAGTTCTCTCTCACACATAGTCACCAGCTGTCAACTTAGACAACTGTTTTAGGAATCTTAAAAATTAATGTTCACTATTTGAACACTATGTATGTTCTGAAATATTTTTCTAGTCAGAATCATAAAGTTTCCATGAAACATTAGTATTCAACATTTAAACTGTTTCATAGCTTTGTCTAACCCTGTCAGTTGTATCTTTCTGTCCTTTGAAAAAGATAGTGTATAATTTGGTGTATAAATTTGTGTATAATTTGGTGTATAATTTATAGTGTATAAATGCAGATAATTTGGGATCTTTATATTCTTTGATCCTATTATATTTTTTATAGCTAAGGATAAATCACATGAGACTTACCACATTTTACTTGTTAAAAAATGAACAGAAAAGTGAACTTTTCCAAAAAACACAAAAATTACAGTGTAAAGTATCTCATTAAACCCAAATGTTCATCTCATGATGAACTGTGTTGATGTTTTGCACACAGCTGTGATAAAAAGGAAATTTGAAACTGCATCATATTTAAAAGAAAATGTAAAATTGAAAAAGGGTAACTACAACCACATTCCATGAAAGAAAATTTTCCTCCCACAAAGCATTTTGTTTCTAAACACCACATCAGCACTCAAGAATTTTAATTTAGATGTAACAATGTCAAAATTTCATACTTAAAAAAAGAAATTGAAATTACAGAATAATGAAGAGCAAAAACTTATTCATAAAAATATAAATATTGGTATTAATATATTTATATATAATCTCTAGAAAATACATATTATTGACATTCAAATTTCCAAATTTCAAGCTATTGATACATTTTCTAACAGAATACCATCATGCTTTTTGGTATTTTTCTGTATTAAATTATTGAGTCAAGCTCCCCAAGGTGATTATAGTTAGTGATCAATCTAGTTAAACAGCTGGTATGATTGTTGAATTTATTGATGTCACAGAGATTTTGTGAGCATAAGTTTAGCTATGTCTTTTTTATTTAAAATTGTATAGTTAACTCTGATCTAGAAAAATTTCAGAAACATACCTAGGGAAAAGGAACTTACCGCATTCATTCCTTGCCCAAAAAAAGGCACTATGGCATGGGCTGCATCTCCCATCAGCACACAGTGTGATTTAAAGTGAAAAGAAGAGCACTTTACAGATATCATGGGCTGGGCAGGTAACAGAAAGAAATCCTGTTTCAGCTTTTCCCTTCAGAGGAAAATAATCATGATGCAAATATGTTAAGCTGGATATTTTATATTACATAATTCTTTCAGGTTTATTGACTTTACTAATATCGTATTTCATTGAAAAATACACAGAAATGCCAGGATGTAAACTGAGGTTTCTCCCAGTCCCCAAATTCCATTGTTTTAAATACCTTCTGTGTTAACAGTGATAACATCCAATAAGAACAAGTTTGCCCGCAGTTGAATATATTGAAATATGTCTGTGCTGTATGTCCTAAAAATTTCATCATCCTACATAAAGAACATACAATTTCAAATATGTTGTTCTGTTTTTGGTTTCCATGGAATAATCAAGATGCTGTTGTGCATTTAATTAAACCAAAACAAACCAAAATTAATATGAATTTATTTATGTTATTTGGAAATGGGCAGTTGTAATCAAGTAGTATCTGTCAAGTATTTACAGAAGTTTTCAGAAGCTATAAGTAGGGAGATAATAGTAGGAGATAATAGTAGGAGATAATCAAGGATCTTAAATCTGACTAGAGAGCCAAAAGTAGCCACAGAACAAGTTTTAAAAGTATACAAGGACTAAAAGTTGGTGGGCAGATAATTTCCTTCAAGGTTCCCTTCAAGGAGAGATTAGTGCAGGTAACTGAATTAGTCTACAGGAAAGGACAAGACATAATTGTTTAAAAGACCTACTTTGAACTGGCAATGGGCTAGCCCTTTAAAGTAATTAACTTATTTAATTTTCACAACTGCCCTAAAAGGCTGGTATCCTGTTGCTCATTTTAAATGATGAAAAATCTGAGACTCAAGGGAGTAAGGAGCAGAAACAGTATTAAAATCTGGCTTTTCCTGCAATTTTATGTTACCTCCATGAAGACCCTGATAGAGGTAGAAACTAAGTCTTACTCAGAAGGGAGGGTCCAAGGGAGCAAAGGCATTACTGAATGAGACTAAATGCCAAGGCCCATAAAGGGGATGATGATGATAAGAACCAGAAGGGGCCTCCTTGGTGGCACAAGGGGTTAAACCACAGCTCTATGAAGCTATCTGCAGCCACTGCAGCATGAGTTTGATCCCCGGCCAGGGAGCTACGCACATGGTGCAGCAGACCTCTCCTGTCTTGCCCACTGCTCCCCTCAGCAGTGTATTTCAGTCAATGCACCTGTTCTGCTCCCCACTCTGTCTCTGGTGAATCCTCTCCCCCTCACCCCGCATCTCTGGCCTGTACCCCCAGTTCTTTGAGCATAAATAAATAAATCTTTAAAAAAAAGAAAAGAAACAGATGGACTGAAGGTGATGATCTATCTAATAAAACTAATGTAATTGTCAGTTTGGAAGAACATTATATGTGCCAGATCCTATGCTGAATAATTTATAATCATGATCTCCTTAAGCTGTCACAACCATTTCAGGCAAGTATTATTATTTATTGCGATTTTACTATGAGGGGCCCAAGACATAGCAAGCCATAGTAAGAAAGCTAGTAAGTGGTAGACCTGAGACTGGAGGCTGTTTGCTGTCTGTTCTGCCACAGATGATTATACCCATGCGTGGAAGGCAGCATAGTCAGTGTCTGCGGCACACTGGACTTAGGTGACTCCCAGGGAAACTGGCTGTGCATGGAGTTTTCATACTCCATGGAACATAAGACATAATTACACATCATAAAACTTACTCTCCCATTAGAGGAATGGCATCTGGAAAGTACTTCTGGAAGAAATCCAGCACATCACTACTAGTTAGAAGTTTCTCAAATTCTTCAAAGGGCATGAACAAAGTACATGTGAAAGATTTGTTCTGTAAGAAGAAAAGAAACCCTGTGAAAGAGAACAGGGAGCAGGGCTTTGGCAGCACTGAAGATGGAATGCTAACTCACCAGCTTCTTGCGAGGGGAAGCTAGAAAGAATGTTTAGAAACAAAGGAGGGCATCCTTGCCTTCTTCTCTTGCTCCCAAAGAAAACCTCTACCAAGTCCCAGGGTTTTTCCTGGCACCCTTGGTTGTAGAGAATTTCCACACCATAAATTACGGGCATTTTCACCAAGCAAACACCGCACCTCTTACATTGTTACTAAGTTGGTTGGATTTCATTTCTCCTCTCCTTTTTCCTCTATTGTTGTGGTATCATTACTAAATTTAAAAACTAAGCCACCAGTCCTTGCCCAGCAAGCAAGTCTGAGAAGGTTCAATGAACAAAGGGAGTGGATGGGACTGCCTGGGAACTGGACATTAAGCTGATGATCCAAAGAGCTGATGATCCATTATGTCACCCAGATCATCAGTCAGGACACATCCAAGACTATTCACCCTAACCAGTCAATGATGCCTGGAGTATAAATAGAGCCTCGAGCCCCTCTGCACAGCAGACCTCTTCTGTCTCTCCCACTGCTTCTTTTAGCAGTGTATTTCATTATCTGTGTTTTCAGTTCTCCACTCGCTCTAGTAAATTCTTTCACGTCCATGCCTCTGGCCTACACCCTCAATCTTCCCTGCAACATCTATTATTCCTTTTAAGATCATCTCATGGGACATTGGACCCTAAAACTGCTATCAAGAGAAAGAAAAAAACTAATGCGAGAAATAGTTACATCAATATAGCAAAATAGTTTCTAATGTCCAATAAATGAACATCCCTGCTTTTTCTGGATTATGTATATTCCAGAGTCCTATAGACCTTAAAGACCTTCAGCTTTATTTAGAGACCATTTTTTCCTAGACTGTCTCTAAGAGAAGACAGTAGGCACCACCATATGTAAACTCCCTTTAGTTATTTTTGCAGGTTAAATCTCCTTCAGGTTTTCTCTCAGTCATCACAAAGTGGCAAAGTTATGATCACTAAATAGAATAAGCAATAACATTAGGTTTATACATACCCAGTATAAAAGTAAGTAGGAACATTACTAAGTACTAAAGTAAAAAATTGCAAAGATTAATAATAAAAACTAACTGGGTTTTTTATTACTAACTACTTGGCATGAAATTCTATATTACCTTGTTAGGAAGCGCAATCATCATAAAAGTATTTCTAGGCCAAATATGCAGATAGTTAGGTTCCATGGCATACTGAGGAAATATAAAGGGATATAAATGTTGTATTAGTGAAGTATATCTATAAAGCTGACTCTGCATATGCTACAACTGTCGCCATAGTAATTTATATAGCACCACGTGAATGGTGATGTACCCATCCATTGCTGTATAAGACAAAAGATTATATCTTAGAAAATACATTGTGTTCTGACTTCATAAACTCAAGCTTAGGTCTGTTTCACATATACTCTCCCTCTCTCCTTCTCTCTTTATTTCCATGTACATACACACACAACCACACACATGCAGATATATATGTGTATATGTGTGTGTGGTATGTGTATGAATAAATATAATACATAAATTATATATTTGTGCATATATGTGTGTGATAATTTTACACTTCATTTTTCACCTTACTTTGGAACGTATATGTGTGAATAGAAAGATCCCACATTTAATATTCACGGACATCACAAAATTTTACAAGCAAGCCTCTTTATTTATTTCCTACAACATAAAAAGTAGATTTGTCTTCTCTCTTTAGTGAGCCCAATACTATGCAATAATCCCTGAATAAATATTGATTGTTTGACTAGATCAATTGACACAAAGATCCAATTAACTCAAATACTTGAGGTTCCCAGGGTATTATATACATAAGAATATTCCATTATTTTCCAGCTATGTAGATTGCATTAATTTTTTACAAAGGCTTATAAAGCACTTACTATGTGTTCATTTTAAAAATAGTAAGGAAACAGAAAGCACCATGATCTCCCAGCTAACTTTTTCAAACTCTGTTATGGTCACTTGTGTCATAGGAGAAGAAACTATTCCTAATATTTTTCAATTCCCAGAGTCCCAAAGAAAGCTCAACACACAGACATAGAAAGAATAAGAGCATAACTCTTTGACTTCAGATATTTTTTACAATGCAGTTGAATAGGCCAGGTATATGCATAAGAAAACTCAAATCTTTTATCTTTAATGCCTATTTAAATGGTAGAGAGACAATCGTGACTTGGTGCCAAAACAGAAGTATATTGATAAAAGCTGGAAAAGTAAAAAATGTGTAGGGTTGGAGGGTTAAAATAACTGGTAGGTAAGAAGTGGAGAACATTGTCTCCTGAGTGGGGGTGAATTTGCTGAATAAAGCGGAAGGCAGCATAAGTGAGCATTTTAGGTGGGGAGTAAGAAAGTCACCCTGGATAAGTCAAATGTCTTTCATTTTTCCCACTTGCTATTTTTAGCCCATTCCTACAACTTTTTAGAATTTCAAAAGATAGTGCTGGAAAAATGACAGATGAAAATGATTTATCATTACTGTAATAGCAAAGGTTGAAACTACTGATTTAAAACAGGCTGAAAGAGGGGACTCCCTGGAGGTGCAGGGGTTAAAGTCTCAGTGCTATGGAGCGACTGCCAGCCACTGTGCCAGGAGTTTGATCCCCAGCCAGGGAGCTGACTCACATGATGCAGCAGACCTCTCCTGTCTGCTGTCTGCTGCTCCCCTCAGCAGTGTATTTCAGTAAATCTACCTCTTCTGCTCCCCACTCTTCTCTGGTGAATCTTCTCACCACCCCCTCCACCCCGCTCCTCTGGCCTAGACCCCAGTTCTTGTATGCATAAATAAATAAAAATAAATCTTTAAAAAAAACCTGAAATATTAAAAAAATTCCTCCTGTTTTCATCATTAACATAGATAAATAGTGTATATATTGTTTTGATGTAGAAATTATGACACCAAGAATATTTTGATGTTCATGATATTTTTGTTAATTAGAAAATAGAACTTTACAATTTCAGCTTCTTTATTACCAAGTCATGCTTTCAATAGATATTCTTGCTCAACAGCGGTGCCATAGTCAGGTTCCTCATATTCTGTTGATTCCCTCACCACAAATCTTTGCTATGCAAAATCAGCCTTATGCTGAGTCTCTCATATAATAACCCTGTCACTCACCCAATCTCTCACTCCCTCCCCACTCCAACCATCAGAAATGGAATGAAAATATTTATTACATGAAAAAAAGAGACAGAGAGTCAAAAATGAGGTGAGAAAGGGAGGAAGGGAAGGAAACAGGGAAAGAGATTCATAGGATCAATTTTGGGGGCATGTCAAATTATTCCCATGTCTTGTTCACACTGCTATGTCAGTGTTTATATAAGTCACTAACTATTTTTAAAATAAATATTTTGAATCACCATTTATTAAAAATACCATGTTTTATAAACCACTAATTATTAGTATTAAAGATGAATATGTATACAATAAATAGCTATACTAAATCTACATTAACATTTATGATTTCACTGAAGTTTGAAACAACTTTTCAACAGAATCTTGTTATTTTATTGTCCAGTATTATCAACAACTGGGCCAGGAGATCAATGCTTACCTGAAACCATAAAATCAAAATTAAAATATTAGTAAATAAATTTGTGAACAGGAGAAAGAAATAGAAAGACAACAGTTTAAATGTTAAAATATAGATTTGATGGGCTGAAAGAAATAGAAAGACAACAGTTTAAATGTTAAAATATAGATTTGATAGGCTAACACAATTTGGTAAATATCTGGTATATAAATATCACTACTCCAATTTGACTAGCAATTTTACAGATATTTCAATTTCAGATAGATTAAATCAATAACTTCAAAATGAATGTTTCACATGCAAATCAGATAACTAGCTCTGTTTACTTCTACTTACAAGGCCCTTACTGCTTCTGTGGGAATTTTACTTTCCCTAAAGATACTACAATTATTTGCTTATGACAATATAAATTATACCCGCAATGTATTTGTTTTAGACCACATATGGCTTAACATGGAAATCAGGAAATGAGAAAACTAAGACTTGCCATTGAGAATGTGTTCAGGAGGTTATGCTTCTGTCGAGTTATGGAAAGTAGATAAGCAAAAAAAAGGAAAGCCTTACGTCGTCATTCTTAGGTGGAATGGTCAACTCCATATACCCATGAGGAATGAATTGCTGACTGTAATCAAAGCGAGGCTTCTTCATCAAGTGAGTTCTGACAGTTGAGTAGGCTCCATCACATCCTACAACGAGGTCATAGGCAATATCTTTGGGAACTTTGTCAGATCTGAAAAAAAATAAAGTGAACCATCTAAAAAAAAGTTTCATGGTGAAAATGGTGATGTATCTCTATTTGGGTAAAAAATATAATGGCTAATAGGGGCCACTACTCACTTTTAGAAATCTGATTTAGAGCTTTGAATCTGTTGCCATAAAACAAAGCTGATAATACCCAATCACAGGTTATTTATGAGGAGAATAACAAAGCCAACCTGATTAATGAAGACATGCTAATCCATGGAAGTGTTACTAAAAGTTGAATTCCTTGCACAAAAGAAGAAAATCTTGAAAAGAAGGCAGAGGTTTCCAAATAGAGGGATTATATGAATAATTAGGATTTTTGAGGAACAATATGTTTGGCTTGAGTGGAGGATATCAGAAGATAGTATGGAAAGAAAGGAGGGAAGGGGAGAAGAGAATTTTGAATGTTAAAACAAAATGTTTAAATACATTATTCTGGGGGAAAAAGAGCAATTTTTTTTCCATTGAAAGGATGACACATGACGATTCAAGCAATCTCACTCTGCTGTGGCCCTACTAAAGTGGGGGCAGAATGCAAAACAAGGGGAAAAGCAACGAGGTGACTGAAGTGGCCAGTGCAGGGACAAGAGCTCGGGCACTGTGGTGCTTAGGGAGAAGGAAGACATGGGCTCTGAGAACAGCAGGAAGGAGCAGGAAGACTGAGGTGTGTTTATAGAACTAATGGCATAAAATAGGGAAAGGGCACATCCAAAATGATTCTAATTACTAGGGAAGTCAGGAGTGAGACTCCAAATGATCAACAAATAGATGATCCAAGTTGTAAATGTGTTTCAGATTATTGCAAGATGCACCTGTGAAAATGTTTAATGGTACACTGACATTGATTAGGATTGAAATAAGCAATAAGAATGAAAACAGAGGCCTGGGCTAAAGAGATTAATTTTAGAGACGTGAATTCACAAGTGACGGTTGAATGAACTATCAATCCATGACATATCCCAAGAATGGGAAATGAGCCTTGGAACTTGAGAGGAAAGAGTTAAAGCAAGGCAAACAAAACAGGCATTGAAGGGTCATACATTTGAAGGGAGGAAAGAGTTGAAACAGATGTAGTGAACTGTGTTCAATACCTTGGGGGAGTAAATGAACATGAGAATCAAAAAAAAACAACTGGCCATGGTATTCAGGACACATCTATGGCCTATTTTCGCCCTAAAATTCTTTGACTCTAGGGACTATTTGAGATACCATTTTAGTAATCTTTTAACCCAAATAGCCAAAGAACAAAGTTTACAGATACAATTCTCCACTCTAAACCTTCACCTCTGATATCAAAAGATCAACCAGTGATTGATTACCCAAGCACTGTGATCATTCCTTCGTCAGGATTACATTTCAACAGTCTGTGGCCAAAGTGCAACTTCACATTGGGATATTTCTCAACAGCTGGGGAAACAAAGAAAGAAAACAAATCTAACTGAAATTCCAATTCTTATTTCACTTAAACTGAAATAGTAATCATTTTCTGAGAGTACATAGAGACATTTATTCTTAACAATATAAACATAAATTTGTTAAAATGATAATTTGACAACTACTTGGCAAATGTTTCAGGATGATTTGGTAGTAAAATATGAATAAAAATCAATATAAAATTTAAAACTTCACTTGTAGCTGATAATGGTGGCCACATAATAATGTGCTCTAAAAGATGTGTGATGCAGACTTACAGAATAAAGCCCCTGAGGAGAAAAAACAACTTTTAAAACATCTTTGATTATGACATTTCAAACTTCTTGGTCACATAACCTTTTTGGTGTTTGTTTTGCTTAACAATTATTAACTTTCCATGGAGTAGTGAACCATGAAACAATCCTACATGAAATGCTGATGCAGTAAATTGATTTAGCTACAAATTTTGCAAGTTCAGAGAAGAGACTTCAGTCAGGAGTAAAGAGCATTTACAAAGGATCAAGTATGGGAACAGGCTGCTCATTCCTTTTATGCTGTGGAAAGAATAAAGCACTTTGCATGCCAAAGCTAGGAGGGTATCAAGAAATTCTACATTCATATTATTAACATGTTTATGGCATTTATAAAATTACTGTCTGTGCAGCACATTCCTAACAAAAAATCAGTTAGGGTACTTCTGCTATGTACACCAAGATCAGCTGTTTCCCAGGTTTTAATTCCTTAGTATTAGCAAATGTTCAGAGATAATATTTGAGATAGTGACTGTAGTAGTTAAAAGCATAGACTTTGGAACAAACAGACTCAAGATCGAATCCAGATTCTACTACTTACTAAAACTGAATTTTATACTGTGGTGGTCTCAAAATCTCATTTACCCTCTGCAAAGGAGATAAAAGTCATTCTCAATTTAAGTGATGCAGAGAAAGCACTTAACAAGGTGCCTGGTGGTTCAATGAATGTTTGCTATTATTTTTATCTTAATAAATTCAGGAGATACTAAAGAAATGGTCTTAGGCCTGCTATACTACATTTAAGAAAAAAACTGCTCTATGGTTTATTTGTTTTAAGATCATCCCACTGATTCACTCATCCTAAAGACATACAAATATAGGAGCTGGAATAATTAACTTCAATGAACTTCCCCTTCACTAAGCCTTCAAGATATATTGCAAACATGCTCTAGATAGGGGACTAAGGAGAAGCACAGATAAATCCTGTGGAAAACTATTTTCCAAAAATCAGAGGTTGCTTGACTATGTCATGAAGGATTGGTTCAAAAGGTAGTAGAAATATGTAAGTGGCATGATTTTCAAGGAGTGAACCTCTTCAGCACAAATGATGAAGAACAGAAAATCTGCTATAATCAAAAGCTATATGGGATGTGACTGGATTGATTATCCAAGCTACAAATATAATTTGCAGTCCAGTGACTTTTCCATTAATGGGACTGTGTTTTTTGGTGCCTAGTAAGAAACTTCAGAGTTATATTTTATGCCTTCTTCTATTTCAACCTCCTACACCAATTTGTTTATTTGATCTCCAAAAGTATCATGAATCCCTTCCATCCCCTCCAACCACTTTTGAACACAGGAATTGTCACACTGTTCTAAAGATTACAGCTCTCTATCAGCCTGCATCCCATTGCTTTTCATCGACTTTGCAAAGCATTCAAGTTCATCTGTTGTTCCACTAGGCTGTGAGTTCTTTATCAGGGTATGAACACAACATGCATCCCAGTGCTTGTGAGACAGTAGGAATTTAATATGTCAAATAAATTATTTTTTATTTGGATCATTAATAAGATGTAAAAGAGATACCACAGAATGTATCACCTACTACTTTTCAAGAAAGACTGCATTGTATGTAGTCTTCTTCTTAGCACCCATAAAAAAGAATAAAGAAGAAATCTCAGTACATCATGTAGCAATACTAGTATCATGTGCTTTTTTTTTAACTCAGAATGTTGAACTTACCAGTTAATAGATCCTTATTTAGATTTTCTCTGCTTATAGAAAGAATATACTGCAAGAAAAATAAAATAGATATTGTTTGATGCTGAGAGTAAACAAATATAATTTTATGTTTTTCAGCAGCAGGAAATACTTACTCTTTTAGCAGGTCACCAGCTTACTTTTATAAACATTTAGCTAAATAGCCTTTTCCTAAAATATATACCCAAATAAATACAATACAAAGTTCAAATTTAAAGTTAGGATTTTTAAAAGTTTGATACTATAAAGTCCACATCTTTCCCTGTACGAAAAATATTATTTTCACTAAGATTGCTTTGTCTCAACAACAAATTGTACATCTTGTACATCATTGTACATCATTGTACATCTCAACAACAATTGTACATTGTTGTAGGGATCTAAATCGAACAGTTCTAAAAATTTCAGAAATGATAGAAACTAAACTCAATGTACTATGTCCCAAAAAGACTACTTTGAAGCTTTCATTTCAATGTGAAGGAGGAGGAGAAGGAGGAGGAATAGTAGCAGCAGCAGCAGCAGCAGCAGCAGTAGTAATATGTGTGTGTGTGTGTGTGTGTGTGCGCGCTTATATGTGTGTACACTTGGTGTTGTTTGTGGCAGAGAGAGGGGTAGATGGTAGGAGTAGGACCAGCCATCCATGAAACATGTGTTCCTTGTTTCTGACTGTTCAGTACAATATTCAGCAAGGTTGACTAATCCATAAGGAACTATATTAATCTTTGTAGCAATATGCTCCATAATATCTAACTTTTTATATTTATTATTATTTTATAGAAAAAGGAACCCAGAAAGGCAAAAGTGTCTAACTAGGTTCCATGAAGGTTACAAAGAAGTCTTGAATTCAGGGTGAGGCCACTTGTATAAACATGTAGAGTATATTATTTCCCAAATTATGCTAAATCACAACATTTAAAACAAATTGTGTTAATTTATGAATCTTCACCTAATCCATATGTAGACATTTAAAATTACCAGTGAAATCTATATTTGGTACAAAAATAATATATTTGGTGATCAATAATATTTAAGTTTCCACAATGGTGAAGGTTCCACAGTTTGGTTATCAAGTTGACCAAAATGGGTGGAGGGAAGCCAGTGATCTTGGTTAAGGATATGTGTGCTCTAGTGGTGGGTGTCGTGTGGTAATGTACATCTGTAAAGAAGTGCTAATCTATTCCACTAAATCATAAATAGTACTGTTACCTCAGTAAAATGTTACCTCAATAAAAAATTTACCAAACAAATAAACAAATCAAGAACTACAATGTGGCTCTTTTAACAACAACAAAAAAAGGCCTAAAGAAAGTTGGGCAACCTCTTTTGGAAATTTGTTTGAGAGTAATTGGAAATGTTTACTTTTTCCAGTTTATTAGAAAAAAATGTTTATGTTCTGTTTTTGAATGTTTTCAAATGAAAATGTTTTTTAGTAAGGGGATGCCATTTCTCCATTTGGTGCATAAGAGTAAGAATTGGAACTTGGACCTATTCTGTATATCATAGAATATATTGATTATTGCCAAGAGTCTTTGGGAGGAAAATGGAAAGAACAAGCAAAAAGGGAATAATTTAGACAATGCAGGACATAAAGATAGACAAAAAAATAGCTAGAGGTGGTTAGGCTCAGAGAAAGGATTCAGAAAGGATTTTGCAGGTCCAATTGTACACATAAGCCATTGTAAGTAGTTTCCTGTGTTGTATACAATGTGGGCCCTCTGTGACCCAGGTTCTCAATATATTCATTAATTTTTTGAATAAGCATTATTTGTGGAAATTGGTGAAATGGGTGAACTACATGAGAGTCTGGATCCTCATAGTTCATAGTCAACACCAGGTAGGAAGCAATAAGATACCAACAGGGGATGGAAATCAGTTGAAGGTAGGTGTCCTGGGGATTTGCAGAAGGTCTGAGGTCATCGGGAAGGGTTGGATTTCCACAGGTGTGAACTGAATGAGTCAATGCAATTTTATGTTGTTCTTAAAGGTCAAGGAGGCCTCTATGTTTGACTCAGATATAAAAGTAATAATGCAAGCTAAAGAAATTGTGGTAACTATAAATTTAACATTAGCTCAATTTTTAAGAATGGGTGGGGTAGGAACCATTTCCTCACTCTTCTAATGTATTGAAGGCCCCCAAATGGGAACTCCCACAAACACTTGTACCTTTTTGAAGGTGATAGATTCATATTCATATTCTCTCTCTCCCTCTCTCTCTCTCTCTCTCTCTCTCTCTCTCTCTCTCACACACACACACACACACACACACACACACAAATACCCCTTAATGGTGGGAGTGAGGAGCAAGTTTTAATCTCTTGACCAGATACTTCTTATATACTTACATAATTTATCCTGATCTTTTGAACCATATCATAGTCCCTGGTCTATTTACACTTTATTATCTCATTCTCTGGACAGGGGATGTCTTCCTAAACACATTCCTTAATAATCTGAGGGGCAGGGGTAGTGATTATTAGGAGTTATTTTAAATTTAGTCAAAAATTAAGTAGTACTGCCCACTGCCCTTGTGAGGCCCTCCTACACCTTCTCTGCTTGCCATTGCCTCTGAGGAAAACTGTCTAGTTTCTTCTCTGAAGTTGACCTCATGTAATCATCCAGCCTATTTCTTCATCTAAAGCAAAGTGGTTGTATTAAAAAAAGCTTAATTTCGCTGATCACTCTAAGATTATGTTAAGCAAAAGTAATTTTACAAGTTTTCTCATCCAATGCACACTTGGCACTTAAAAGGTTTACATTTTTTAGAAATCTGGTCTTATCCAACTCCCCTCCATAGAGAGATCTTCATTTGAAAAGGACAATGCTTTTTACCTGTGGATTTAACATTTAAACAAAAGTCCTCTCTCAAGTTATATTTTCTTTTTTTTATTCATTATTGTTCGTTTTTGTTTGTTTTTTCTTTTCTTTTTCTTTTTTTCTAAAAGATTGATTGATTGATTGATTGATTGATTTATGCAAGCACTGGGTACAGTCAGAAGCGCGGGAGGGTGAGAGAATTAACCAGAGCCAGAGCAGGGAACAGAACAGGCAGACTGACTATATACACTGCTGAGGGGGGCAATGGGCACGGTAGGACAGGTCTGTCGTGCCATGTGGAACACTCGCCTGTGGCCAGGGCTCAAACTGGCACTACAGAGGCTGCGGGCAGCTTCGCAGACCAGCGCCCAACCACTCCACCACTAGGGAAGGCCCTCATTGTTCATTTTTAAATATTATTTTCTTCCCCCCGCCTCAGGTTTAGTCCCCATAGAATTTCTTTCACCCATACACCATCACCTCAGTCCCCTGTGCTCCTCCCTCTGATCCCTCACCCTCCTCCCCTGCAGGATGTCTCTGATTTATAATTGTCTGTTTTGTTTTGTTGTGTTTTGTATTGTTATTATTTTTTCCCCTGATGTCTTACTTGGTTCCCCTATATTTCTCATTAAGTGAAACCATCTGATATTATTCTTTTTCCTTCTGACTTACCCAAAGCAAAGAAAGTCAAGGAAAAGATAAACACCTGGGATTACATCAAACTGAAAGGCTTGTGTACAGCAAAAGAGACATTAACCAAAAAAAAGAGACACCCCACTGATTGGGAAAAAAAAATTGTGCTCCCTACAACTGATAAGAGACTAATCACAAAGATATGCAAAGAACTTACACAACTCAACAAAAACAAAGTAAATAATCCAGTCAAGAAATGGGCAGGAGAACTAAAAAGACATTTCTCCAAAGAGGAAATGCAAATGGCCAACAGGCATATGAAAAAGTGTTCAAATATCTCGTATAATCAGGGAAATGCAAATCAAGTCACATCTATGTGATGTCTTCTCTGAAAAGCTTTCCTCCCTCTCTGAATCATTTCAATATTTCTGGTCTCAACCACACAGCTGAGTATTTCTGCGTTCACTCATCTATGTTCTTTTCCCAATGAACTTGAAAATACTTGTTCTCACCAGATGGCAAGCTCTTCTTGCACTCAGCAAGTGACTTGGGACATGGCACACAGGAGGACAATTATTGCTTACAGAAAGAATGCATTAGGTATACATCTTGTACTTGACTTGCATGTGTAAATCATTTTTGTCTATTAAGAAGGGGTTCTTTTCTGTAACAGCAAGATCAAATTGGGGCCGATTAAATAAGGTATATGAATTATCTGAAATTGTTTGCCTCACTTTATTTGGTCGGTGACTTTCTTTCCATTACTTCCACCCACCAGGATCATGTATCTAGGTCTTTATAATGCCAGAATAAGCCGATTATCATTTCTAAAAAGTCATTAAATAGAAAATGTTGGTCCTTCCCCACTTTACCCACGCTCCAAAGTTTTTCAGCCCCTTTTTGAAACAAATTGTAGCAAAACATACATTACATAAAACTTACCATCTTAACTATTTTCAATATACAGTTCAATGTCATTAATTACATTCAGACTACTATGCTACTATCTTCATTCATTCACAGAATTCTTCATTTTTTTAAACTGAAATTTGGCAGCCATTAAACAATAATTCCTAATTACCCCCATCCTCCAGACCCCTGGGAATTAGCACTCTATGTTCTGTTTCTATGAATTTAGGTTCCCTAGGTACCAAATAAATGTGGAATTATGTGCTACTTGTCCTTTGTGACTTATTTCACTAAATATAAAGTCTTAATGATTCATCTCTGTTGTAGCATGTGTTAGAATTTCCTTCCTCTATCAGGTCAAATGGTATGTTAATATATGTTGTAGAAAATCTATACTTCTCCTTGTCTCTCCTTTACTCTTGCATTTCTGCCATACTCACAATATTTCTGACACCAGATGTGTAGGATTTTTTGCCACATCCAGCAATTCTCTGTGAAGCAAGCAGGGAGTCCTCCTACACTGACAAAACGTGTATTATAATTTAACTCAGTTCTGACACTGTCTACCTGGATAAAAGCTCAGTCATACAAGATTGTCCTCACCATCCTTATCAGATGTCAATCCTAAGAGTAGTCTGTCACGTGTGCTTCTCACCAACTGGACATAAATCAGAAGTTCTACAACCTTCTCTTTAGAATACCCTCTCTGGGATACCACTTTCCCAGCACCGTGTGTTCAAAAACCTGGAAACTCTCTCAATCTCAAACTTTTTGAAATTTTTATGGTGACTTCATCATGTGGGCATGATTGATCAGTAACTTCAATTTTAGTCCTCTCTTCTCAAGAGAATGAGGGTGGTATTGAACATTCCAACTTACTTATCAATCATGGTCTCTGGTAACCAGAAACGCATCAAAAGGCACCTCATTATTTGAACAGTAGACACTATTGTCATTCAGGAAATTTAAGAGATTCTGTGTCAAGAACTGGGTTCAAAGACCAAATATTAGAACAAAAGATTATCTTAGAGCTCTTACCACTTAGGGGATTACTAGGGTTTTAGGAACTATCTGCCAGGAGCTAGATAGAGACACACACATATATATGTATTGTTTTATTTTACATATATATATATATATGTTCATATATGTTCATTCATGCATCCATCGATGGGCATTTGGGTCATTTCTACCCTTCAGCAATTGTGAATAGTGCTACTATGAATAACTGTGTTTGAATATCTCTATGACTCAGTTTTCAGTTCTTTTAGATACATATCCCAAAGTAGAATTTATGGGTCATATGGTAATTCCATTTTTAATTTTTGGAGGCGCCACCATAGTCTTCCATAACTATTGTTCAATTTGATTTTCCCACCAATAATGCCCAGAACTTTTGATTTCTCAACATATTCTCCAACACTTGCTTTTCTTTTTATTTTATGATAGTAACTATACTAATAAGTGTGAGGTGCTTCAACTACTTTTATCATCCCAGAATTTACAAAGATCTTGTTCCTATGAGTGTATGTGCTTTATCATACTTGCTAATCAAAGTATGATGCATGAAGCAGCATAATGAATACTACTGGGTTTGTTTGAAAAACAGAACATCAGCCTTCACCCTGCCCTACAATATCAAATTCTTCATTTCAATAACTTCCCAAGTGAGTCTGAGGAGTGCTTATCTACCTGCAATGGGAGCTCTGCAAAGGGTTGGATACTTGAAACTTCGTAGGCTCTGAACTTAAAAAAATGAGGCATTGCCACATAAAGTAGGTTGGGGATTTCCTCTGGTCGATAGAGGCTTTGTACATTTATTGTTCCTTAAGAAAACAAACTTAGAAAATGTAATTAGATTAAAATACATATCTTGCCCAACTCTATACAATAATATGTAAAAGAAGACAAACACAAAGCAGGATAATGGATTTTCTTTTGTAAACTCTGTCTTGTCATTTTAGAAATTATACAATACACAAAGCATTTCTGATTCATTCTATACATTCTATTGCAGTTTAATTAAATAGTGAGCAAGAGAATCAGCTTGGGGAAAAAAAGCATCATAAAACCCTCTAGACTGATTTTGCAAATTACATTGGACAATAAATACATGGCAATTTTTTCTAACTGAGAGTTGGGAGGGAAAGGGCATCTAGTATAAGCTTTGCATAGAGAAAAAAAAAAAAACAAGCAACTAACTCACCTTGAGAACATAATAACTAACTCATACTGAATATTAGGGACTGAATCCCCTTCCTATGAACTAATTTGTTAATTGGTAGAATTTCCCAAATTCTAGATTGAAACAAGCAATGTCAATAATAGGGCTAAAGAAAAAAGGAGTAGTAAAAAGTAAGTAGTAAGTTCCAGAAATTAGACTCAGCTATTACCAAACAAGAGTGGGTAAACAGACCTGTGACTTTGTCCCATAGGGAATTGCAGATTTTTTTCCTGAAAGAGAATGAATCATTCTTGCTCTCATGGGAATACCTTGGGATACAATCTAAAATAAAACCAGAGATACTGATTTCAGTTTCTGTAACATGATATCATGCAAATAAGATAGATGCTTTTTTTTTTGAAATGTGATTTTCAGTAAGCCAAAATAGAATGTAAAGATTTTGGAAGCACAGTATAATAGAAACAATCAATGTATACTGTGTTCCTGCAAATTTTACCTTTTGCTTTTTTTTTTTTAACTTTTAGATGTTGGAGTGGACTTAAAGTTTATCTCATCTAAATCAAATATTACAGTTGAGGAAAGTGTGTAACTATACTTATAGGTGTGAAGTACTTAACTGTTAGAGAGATTAAATGATTTTTTTCATGATCACAAAAGGAAGTAATGCATGAAGAGTGAAACTCAGGACTCCTGTATCCAAATGCAAAGTGTTTTCCTACATGCATATCTGTGAAAATGCAAATGTCACTTATATTAACTTACATTATGATTTCAAAAACACACTTAGCAAACACACTATTGCATCTCAAAGGTACATTTTAGACAGTGACAAGCATAGAATACTGAGCCCACGTGAAGAAAATCTACTGCAGACCCACAATTCTTTTCCAAATACTTGGGGCACATTGGTTTCAGACTTCAGTTTCAAATTTTAGATGGGTTGTGCATATGTGGATATTATATCACATGCAGATTCGGGGACATTACCCCAGAATACAACAAAATATTTATATAGCAAGACATCTTCATATGAAATGAGATTATTTTTAAAGACCACAAAGACCATAAGGTCAAATTTGCTGCTAAATGTGTGATGAAAAAGCTTTCTGTTTCCAGAGCACTCTAGAATACAGAATTATGGATAAGGGATGATAGGATTATGCTACACAGTTAAAAGAATGGAAATGCTGCCTCCTCTAATCCAGGATGCCAGTTTGAGCCCTGAATCAGAGCAATCTTCCCCTGGAACTGCAGTATCCCCCATACCCCACATCATGAGTCATGCTCTGTTCCCCCAGTTGTTTCAAGTGCTAGATTTAGAAGTTTGAAAAATCTTTTCAGAATGAGTTTTGATGCAGAAGCTCTGGCATTTATTGGTGTTTCAAACCAAAATGAAATCAAAACTATGCAATTGTTGAAAAACAATAGATATTATCTTCTAGAATGAAAATGAGTTAACAAAGTACCTGATCTTCCATACCAATGGCTTTCAAGGCTTGCCGTCCTCTATGAGAAAGGGCCAAGTTAATGCTTCTTCCACGCGCAAATTTAGCCACCCGGATATCTAAGGCATTGGAAGTAGACTCCATATTACACATACTTCCTTACACCCTAAGGCAGGATGAGCATACTGGTACAATCAGGACAAAATTAACTCTTTGAAAAAAACACAAGTAGTACTAAACTTGTATTAAATTAGATGTAGATGGTAGAGTTTAAAAAAAATCCAACAATTCCTCTTTTAAAAGAAAAATAAAAATCTACAAAAAGGGGTAAAAAAAATCAGAATAATGGCTCACAATTTACAGTATTGTCTTACCTTCCCTAGCTTCATAAACATCAACTTGGAAATTCCTCTTTGCAAGGAAGCATGCATTTAATGATCCAACCTAGAAATCAAAGTAATAATTTAATATTTTTATCAACAAATATAGGGAATTTTTACTGGAAAAATACAACATTGTGTGTGGCTTTACTGTACTCTCCTTGCTTATCACACTGATTTATCAGTCACAACTGGAAAGCACCATTTGCAAAGCAATGGTATTAATTCAAGATGAATACACATTTAGAGATAGAGATAGTTTGGGCCTTTTTATTGTTGTTTTACTTTCCTATAGTTAGATATTTAACTTTCACCCAGAAATATCATATATTATGTGTATAGTCCACAGAATAACTTGAAATCAATCACTGATATGATGGTGCACACCACTCTGGTTAGAAAGCAGAACATTCTGCCTCCCACAATTCCTCCCACTTACTCCCCAGTTATGATCCCCAAGTTTAGAGGAAACTTAAAGGTAAATATTCTAACTTTTGTGATAACCCATCCTTGCTTATTTATAGTTTATACTGATTAGGTATACATTCTCGAACAATATAATTTTGCCCATTTTTGAATCATATAATTAGAATCACACCTGTGCTTTTTTTTTTTTTTTTTTTTTTGCGTCTTGCTTCTCTAACTCAGCAGTAAGCAGTAAGTTTATGGATATATCCATATAGTTGTATAAACTCAAGGTCACTCAATTTCATTACTACATTGCTTCATTACATCATTGCTAAAATCCTTAAACATTAGTTGTCCATTCTTCCATTGAAGAACCTTTGGATAGTTGGTCTGGGAATAATATAAACAAGACTGCAAAAGTAAATTTTTGACATGTATATATGATTTTTCTCTCAGGTTTTATACACAGTGGGATCACTGTTAACTGATAGGTATCTTAAACTTTGTTACACCAAACTGCTTCAAAAGTGTGTACTAATGTGTTTTGCCACCTGTAGTTTCTGAGTTTTATTTGCCAACAGTTGGTGTTCTCAAAGTTTTAAACATTACAGAGGGCTAGCAAGGTGGGTAGGGGTATAGTTTATATTTTTTTGTATATCTATTGCATATTTGGATCTCCTAGCTTGTAAAATTCCTGGTTAAGACTCTTGCCCATTTCTTGTTGGATTTTCTGTCTTTTTTTCTCTTGATTGCTGGAGTTATTCCTAGATTCTGGGTATAAAATGTCATTTTTAAATGCTGCAACTATCTTCATCTATTCAGTGATTTACTTTTTAAATTCTGTTTTATTTTTTGAGTATGAAGACACTATCTGATATTTACCTTTATCATTCTGACTTATATCACTTAGTATTACCCTTCCAATTCCATCCATGTTGCTGCTAATAGCATGACGAAAGCAGTATAGGGGTGCCTCAAAAGATTAAAAACTGATCTGCCATAGTACCCAGTAATTCCACTCTTAGGTATCTATTCCCAAAATTAAAAAAATACTGATTTAAAAGGAAATGTGTACTCCCATGTTTATTGCAGCATCACTTGCAATAGTCAAACTATGGAAACAACCCAAGTGACCAAAAATAGATGTGTGGATCAAGAAAATGTGCTAGGTACACATAACAGAATACTATTTAGCAAAAAAAAAAAATATATATATATATATATATATGAAGGCTGTCAAGTCTGAGAAGTCCAAGGATATATACACATGGACATGGATCACAATTAAGAAACCTCATCTATACTCTTCACCCACCAAATGTCAGTAGTGGGAGTAAACCATCTTGGACATCTAACCTGGAGAGGCTTTCGGAAGATTATAGATACAGTCACATGCAGACCACCCACAGAACTCTAAGGCATTCATATTACTTTGTGGTTTCAGATCACTAAGATTGGGGGCGGTTTGTTTCACAGCAATAGAACCAACAAATTGTTTAAAAATTCTTGGAGAATAGGCCTCCTTGATAGCCTAAGAATTATGTCTCAGTGATATCATGCTATCACCATGACTACCTGAGTCCAACCCCAGCCAGAGAGCTAATCCACATATGGTGCAGCAGATCTCCCTGTCTCGCCTTCTCCTCCCATTAGCAGTGTATTTTGGTAGATCCACCTGTTCTGCTCCCCACTCTGTCTCTGGTGAATCCTCTCACACACACTCCCCTCCCCTGTCACCTCTGGCCTGTACCATAGTTCTTCTATGCAAAAATAAATAAAATCTTAAAATAATAATTTCTTGGAGAAGATTAGTTTTGAGTTGAAATTTGAAGATGAGACTATTTTGACATGTAAAGAAGAATGACGTTAATAAAGAGTGTGAATCCTCTTGAAAATTTAAAAATAATTTTGAAATGACAAAGAAATATTGACAATTCATTCAATTTCATTGAAAAAAAATCTATTGGTTCCTAAGTATTGCAAAAGTCCTTACTAGGCATTAAACTGATATAAAAATGATATATCAGCACTGTCCTAAGGGAGTTCAGAGCCTTGTATGGGTATTCACTTTTTTTCAAATATTATTTATATGTTTAGTTAATAGATAAACATTGACTTTTCTTTTTCTATGTATTAGTTCTATGCTAGGTGATATGACAGAGGATATGACAGAGACTATGATAAACTCTTCCAAAAATCAAGTCTTAATAAAAATTAAAAATACACATTTTTCTTATGCATCTATTACTGAAATTATGAACATATTACTTCACATGTGGTATGTCTGAGGTAATCATAAGAATTTGCTTCATCTTGGGGCCTCCCTGGTGGTGCAAGGGGTTAAGACACAGCCTATGAAGCAATCCGCAGTCACTGCAGCAGGAGTGCAATCAGGGAGCAACCCACATGGCACAGCAGACCTCTCCTGTCTTGCCTCTCCTCAGCATTGTATTTCAGTCATTCTGTCTGCTCAGTTTCCCACTCTGTCTCTGGTGAATCCTCTCACCCCTGCACTTCTGGCCTGTACCCCAGTTCTTATATGCATAAATAAATTAAAAACTCTTTAAAAAAAAGAATTTGCTTCATCTTAATTACTTGATCTGAAGTGACTTAGCTCTCTTAGTGAGGTCATCATTTTCTTAACATCAGCAATGCTACCCCAACTGGCAGTACAAATTAGTGCCTGACATAGAAATGATTTCATCACTTTCTTTACTTCTTTTCTGCAGGATTCTGGACTATTGTTTCACTAATCACAGTTTCGGAAATATAACTTCCTTCCACTAAACACAAGTATATTCTTAAAGTTGTTTTTGCCCTCCTATCTCATAGTGGTAGTATTTGAGAAAATTTTGCATCAAGGAAAATAATTTTTTTCTACATTTTAAAAGGAGATCTTATTAGGAGAAAGAAAGAAGAGAGGAACCCACATAATCACAGGAAGGCAGAACAGCTACTGAAAGGAAAAAAATTAAGTGTACTATGAAGTTGATACATAAAGTACATTTTTTCCAAAGGATAAATAGCTATTTAGTAATTAGAGAGGGAGAGAAGGAGAGATTAAAGGTTAAATAGAGTAAATTTCTTGAGGGACAGAGTAAGATTTGTGAAATTCCTCTTTCTTTCATAGTGTTATAGACCTAACTGCTTCTCCTTTGGTTATTAAAAGCTGAAAAGGGGGAACCTAAGGTTTGTGCAATTCCTCTTTCTTTCACAGTGTTATAGACCTAACTGCTTCTCCTTTGGCTATTGAAAGCTGAAAGAGGGAGTGGTGGTCACAAGGGTCAAGAAAATTGTAATGAGGCTGGAGAAAGTAATTTAGAAGTGGGCCTCTCTTATTGGAAAAAGAGGCTGGGGAGAAAGGCATGTGGGACACACAAGACACAATCTAAACAAAAAATTATCAATGAAAATTTGATGCAGGAAATTGTCTACTGGTAGAGAGACTGAAATTGAGAAGCAGGAAAAACCATTCATCCATCCTGGGAATTAAATTATAGCAGAGTAAGAAGGTTCTAACAATGGATGTACAAAAAAGAGTCTCAGTAACTGTGTTCAGAATAGGCTCAATCCCAAGCCAATGGTGATGCAAAGGTTTACTTTTATGTGTTTGTCAGATTCCATTTGTTGTTGTTGTTGTTTGACAAAAATTGATTCCAGGATTTGGGGAGGGGAAGCTGACCGAGATGAAGATTCTGTCTCAGTCCTTTACAAGTTTCTCAGGTATTGATCCCTATCTCTCCAACACTGCTTATTGGTTTGTCAATGGAACATGTGTAAATGGTTCCTCATAGGGCAGGAGTAAAGGAGAAACCTTAGTTGTATGAGTAAAATATGATTAAATATAATTTTGTTTCGTAAAAATATTATTGCCAGAGAGGATGAGTGCCAATAGGATATCTTATGTCTCTCATGCAGTTATTTTGCTAAGTTGAATATCCACATATCTGACAAACCAGAAATTCCTCTTTAAGGTATTTACCCAAGAGAAATTCCAGGAGACACATGTCATAATATTCAGAGCAGCACTTTTCATTACTGTTTTTCATTAAAATAGATAAAAAAAATATTGGAAATAAGTCAAATAGTCATCACAGTGGAAAGGACAAATACACTATGTCATATTTACATGATTAAATGCAAAGTGTGACTATATTAGTCACATTCTAGGTAAAAGTATAGGTTCCGGATGAACCTAAGATGATTTTATGCTCATGATACTTTTATAAAACAAAAACTAAAATTAAAGCATGTATATACATAATTTTAGAAATGTATATATTATTTTGTGTGACTATGTATGACAAGTTCACATATGCATAAAATTATATGTACATATAGGATCAAAAGAATGATAAATACAAGATCAGGATAATGCTTATAATGGGTGGAAGAGAAGCACAGAGGTTGAAATAAGTCAGTGGTAATGTATTAATGCTCCTGTTAAGTGGTAAATTCAAAGGTACTGCTACTGCTTATTATTAATAAACAAGCAAAAGTGTCAATGAAAATATGTTCTCCATGACCAGTCATAAAAGTATGTCCTGAAATAAAAATTATGATAAATCCAACTCTGTGAAACTGAGGTTCTAATAAAACTAAAAGAACAAAAATATTGATAGCTGTTATATGATTGGCTAGAAGGATTAATAATAT